CATGAAGCACTGATGATTAAGCCAATCTGACTTGATGGGGACTTGAGAGGAAAGTCTGTTTAACAAGCAGACACCTTGAAATAACCAGAAGAACTCAATCCATCAAATTGTGGAGATCTTTGTAATTGACTTAAACATCAGTGAACAACATTTTTATGTGAACATTAAAGCATAGGTCAATCTCCAAAAAACTCCCAGACTTCACAAACAAAACAAAACACAAAAACATGAAAAAACTATATTTTGAGCAGTAATGCTGGAGCCAGTCTGACCTCAATGGGCTCTTGGGAGCATTACTGGCTCAGAGTCAGTCACCTTTTTTAAAAAAGCTGAGACCTTCAAATAACCAGAAGAACTCAATACACTGAATGCTTTAAAAAATAACAGATGATGTAAGGTATTGATACATATCAAGTCTAAAGTCCAACCTGAAAACTAGTAAAATATTGTTAGTATGTAAAAAAAAACAATTAATTTAACTAAAATGTATTCCTTAAGCTACTAAAGTCTTAATGAAAACAACAGTTTAGAAAGTGTTTAGTAATCACTAATATGGTTTAAATTATTCAGTAACAAATAATGATTACATCCTCATCAGAAAAACACCAGAAACTTAAGAAATATAATTAATAAAAATAATAAAATGAACAAAAATCTTCTTTGGTCCTAACATGTTTCAGTAGTGTGCTGTGTTTGTCTGTGCAGTCTCTGGATTCAGTCTCTCAGAGATCAAGATCTCAAGTTCAAAGGTGTTGCCCGGAACTGTAAGTTTCAAAACACACTGTTAGTCCTGATATTTTTGAACTGGCTTTTACATACAGTGTCTCTGAAACCAAGAGCAACAAAGAAAACTACTTACATGGTTCAGTATCGCTTTCTGTAATAAAGAGAAAAAACAAATATTTCAGAATACATGATAAGTTCAGATAAGTTCACTTTTACACTCTGTACTAGACCATCAGCAGACCATGACCATCAACTCATTTGAATCACTCACTTTTCTTCTTTTTGTAATCAGCAAATCCAACAGCAGCACCGAGGATGAGAACAAGAACAACCACTGCAGCAATGATGGGGATCATCATGCTAGAAGCATTTTCTGCACAGTAAAACAGAGATGTGCAGGGGAACAGGTTAAAACCAAAGTCCATCCATCCATACATCTCCCCAAATGTGAGGCCAAAAATAAATAACCAACTTTTATTAACAGCTGTAACACTTTACATATTTGGAACCAAAGATACACAAGTATTACTATATGCACGCATTTAAAAAATAAATTTTTAGGATCCCCATTAGTAATTCCCACAGTAGCAGCTTTTCTTCTTGAGGTCCAAAACAAAACCAGAAAAAAAAATGAAATATTACATTTTAGACAATCCACAGCATCAGCAAACAAAATGATTTAAATGTTTTTCCTTTCACCTTTCCTAATGTTTTCCTCTGTGTTGGTTCTGATCACTGCTTCATTCAGTTTCATGACAATATCCTCAACACCAGAGAGCTGAAACACGCACTCATATTTTCTCCAGTCTTCAGGGGTGATTGATGAAACAATCAGGTCAACACTCATTTGGAAGGTATCATCATTGTTGGTGAGGATCTTTCCAGGATCCACACCTTCATGAATCTCCTCTCCATCTTTCCTCCAGAACATCTCGGCTCTGCCAGGATAGAAACCTGTAGCGTGGCAGCTGACTGGAGAGGAGGAAGACTTCTGAAGGAGAGACACTGAAGGAAGAACTGGAGAGAGACAGGCAGTTGTTAGATTCTCGTTTGAATTTGACTCTGCTTTGAAATGCCATACATTTTCTCTTTTACAACTTCACATGAGATTCTGTAATTTTAGAGGAGGGAGTCTTCTGGAGGAGAAACACTGATGGAAGAACTGGAGAGGGAAGATAGGAATGAGAGTGAGGCAATGGTGACAAGAGGGTAAGATTTCACAGTAGCATTCGAAAATAACTATGGCTAAAACTCAAGGAAAGCTGTGAAAAAGCAAAATTTAATCTGTAATTCAAAACAGACTGAGGCATTCAAGAAAAAAGAGTCACAAACTTTATAGCAGCTGCATTGTAACAATCTTTAAGCTAAATTAAACCCCAAGCACACAGATATATGGTCACTAAGTACTCAAATTTTTTTAACACATGAGTTTACTTTAAAGCAAATCCAATCCATACCTTTTCACATCACTGTTTTTGTTCAGCAGTTTGAGCAAAAGAAAAAAGAGAATTACTAAAAACCATTAGAATATGCTAAATAAACCCTACTACTGTAGCCATGAAACTGTCATGTGATGTTTCTGGTTCCGTGTGGGAAGCTTTTCCCAGTGTTCAAGTACATCTTCAGATGCTCTGGACAAATCTGAGTGAGGTCATTTTCTTTGTGTTTTATTGCGTTTCTATCAGCGTCCCATATCTTGTGGTGCAAGTAAAAAATAAATGACTTTAGTCCACAAAATAAATCATGTATATTTTTTTAGCTTCAGTTTGTGATTTGTGTTTGTGACTCTGTATTTTTTATAATTTTTTTTTTGTTCTCTTCCCCACTCTGTGGGTTCACATATGTCTAATCAATGTTCCCCATATGCTTTGTGTGCATAAATAAAGAGCCAACAATAGCCAATAAACTTTTTGTGATTGTACCTTTTTTCTGTGAGAAACCTTTCTTATGGTCCACATACATCTTCAGATACGCTGGACAAATGTTCGTGAGGTCATTTTCTTTGTGTTTTATTCTGAGTCGATCAGTATCCCATTTCTGTTTGGTAATGACAGCCTCTGGTTTCAGTGCGATCCATGTCAGTGTCTTCAGATCAAAATCCATAAAGGCTTCTCCGTTATAACCATACAGTAACACACCAGTCACTTCTCCAGTGTTTTCATCCCATTCACAGCCTTCTATCATCTGTAAAATGTGCACAGCTGAAGGGACAAACATAAAATAAGATATTGCAGTGAATCTGCAAGATTTGTGTTGTGCTTATTGTTCAAGTCAAGTACTCTGTCAACCTTTTATTTAACCTAACCAGAATACTACAGTATGTTAAAGTAGGTCTAACTATTGAAGATTGCAAGAGAAGAAGCATAATCTAATTCAATAAAGGTGTCATCTGAAAGAGGTCATAATCAGAAAAACCTTTTTTAAACTTTTTAAAGGAAATTTTTAAATCTAACCTCATTTTAAAGCAGGAAGCACAAAATGTAGATTTTTTTTTCATCAGTCAGTTTCTATGATTTATAATGATCTGAGATTAGAAATAACAGAAAATACTACACCTTTACTTTGGTTGAACTGCTGCTTCAAGCTAAAAATCGTGTCTTTGAAAAGTTTTGGTTGATCCTCAAAACACTTCTTGTTATACCAGTCCCGCTGCTGAGTGTTGTTTTCTAATAGTTTCTTCGCCCAGTCCTGCTGTGGTTGTAATGTCTTGCTGCTGCTGTCGCAGTAACCAGTCTGGATCCCATCAACCATTAGTACACCCACAAACTCTGGGATGTTTGGAACCCCAGAGGATCCAGTGACAAAGTACTTCAGTGAGTGTTTCACTGTGGGACAAGTATGAGTCAAGAAGTAAATAAAGCATGCAAACATTCTCAGAAATATTAAACATTCAGTCTTCTTTTAGCTGCTTTCTTTGTGTTTGTCACAGCAGGCTGATCTGCTTCCATCTCACTCTGCCCCTGCCATTCTTTGCTCTCAATGCTCTGCATGTACTAACTCCTCTGCATGTGTTGGTGTTCCTTTACTGCCATAATAATGTTGGTAATTGCAACTGACTTATCACGTTAGCTTGGTAATGTGGGGAAAACAGAAAAAACAACGGCTTTGTTTAGATAAAACTCTCTTCTGGGAAAAACGATAAGCATTTCAATCGTTTTATTTATTACTTTTTGCAATATAATATCTATATTATCAAGTTAGGTTTGCTGTTAGCCAAATTTACTTTGCTCATATTGGTTTGCTAGTGATAGTTTTCAACAACATTAGTTTCTACTACCTGAATAATCACACAACGTTACTGGGCAGTTGCAATGCTGATCCTGGACCAGCAGTCTTCTGATGATAGGAAGAAACCGACAGAGGAATATCAGATCGTGCAACTCCCAACTTCAGCTGTAACCTCCAGTCTCCCTCCTGTCTTCTCCAAACCATCAATCACAGCTGGTCTTACTATCTTACTCTCCATCTTGTAAACCTTTCCCTTTCACTCGTGCTGCCATTTTTCTGGCACAAATCACCGCTGACACTCAATCCGGTCAAGTGACTCCTCACATGACCGTGGTTGGCACTCGCCTTCACTCACTCTAGCCCGCCTTTCACTTCTTTTACGCAAATATGATCCAGTCCGTATAATTTCTTATTTAATTTACAGTGTGGTCAATACGAGAGGTTACAGGACTGTGTAGCGTTATTTTTATTTTCATAAAGAGCTACGATCTGGCTTATCTATATTGGATGTGTCTGTCACAGCACTGACTGAAAATGATGAAGAATGACCAACATCGATCTAAAATAAATGTGTGTAAACGAATTAAAACATTATCAATATTCAATATTTAAAAATGTCTTCAATAGGCTACATCAGACATGAAATGTACAATAATGAGAGTTGCAAAAGTTTCACAACAACGAAATTAAACAAAAAAAAAACGAAAGAAAAAATCGAAACAGGCTGCTGAGGTCAAACTGAGATTAAAGATTTTAAAGTTCTTTTTTCCTCACCCGCAAATAAACCCGAACAGAAGAGAAGCAATGAAAATATCTCCATATGGGCTTTATCCTTCATGTTGCGGAAGTATATTGAGGCTTAGGAGCGCTTGCTCTGAAATCTAGGAAGTGGTACAGTGACGTATTTTCAACAGCTTAATGGATTCCCCCAAAATTTGCGTGTTAGTGTTCATGTTGGAGTTTCACCTGTGACATGAGGAGCGTGTTTTCATGCAGCCCGCTGAAAAGAGAAGCGATTTTCTCTGTATGGCAACACTTTGAGCTGATTCAGTTCAATAAAGAATTATACATAATGCCTGTGAATAACGAAACCTGTTACGATTATAATATTCACAAGTAATTTTTTTAAGTGTTTGCTGTGTGCCAAGCAGCTGGAGTACAACAACAACACCTGATCTGTGGGCAGTGGCGGTCCTAGCCTGTTTGGCGCCCTGGGCGAACATCCCC